CCTACTAGTTGTAGGTTCTAAGTCATCTCTAGTACATACTATTGTCCATAGTTGTGGATCTAAGTCACCTTCTAGTCATACTATTGTCCACTAGTTTGCTAGTTCTAAGCACCTTCAGTCATACATTGTCCACAGTTTGTGGTTCTAAGCACCTTCACTCATACATTGTCCACAGTTTGTGGTTCTAAGCATCTTCAGTCATACATTGTCCATAGTTTGTGCTTCTAAGAGCCTTAAGTCAAACGTTGTCCACAGCTTGTAGTTCTAAGAGCCTTAAGTCATACGTTGTCCACAGTTTGTAGTTCTAAGTACCTTCAGCCATACGTTATCCACAGTTTGTAGCTCTAAGAGCCTTCACTCATACGTTGTCCACAGTCTGTATTTCTAAGCACCTTTAGTCATACATTGTCCATAGTTTGTGGTTCTAAGCACCTTCAATCATATATTGTCCACACAATATATTCTAAGCATCTCTCTTGTTCAGGCTTAAGATGAGCTATTTTCCCACTTCTTACTGGTTATTATGTGAAAGTTTTTTACATCCTTCAAACAGTATATTCCGAGTTCTCGTGTCTTGACCACCGTTGAAGGAATTGATCGATTTATATAAAGTATATCGTACTAGGTTCTTTAAAAGCACTTTCATCATTCAGTGACTCAGCGGTAAGTCACTGTATGATGAAAGTGACTCACACCGCTAAAACCCGGATTTTGTTACTTGTGGTGGGCACAGCACAGATAGCCCATTGTGCTTAACAACAAACAAACAAAAGCACTTCCACCCCTCAGTGACTAATCGGTAAGTCTGAGGGCTCTCACCGTTAAAACCCGGGTTTCGATACTTGTAGTGGGCACAGCACAGATAGCCCATTGTGCTTAACAACAAACAAACAAAAGCACTTCCAATTATATTTTCCCTCAGTCGTACATCAGGAATTGGCGAAAATTGCTTTTGCTAATGACAGGCATATTCTATGAAGTTTGCCACTTTTGATGAACCCTGATAGTAAATATCTTTTATGCAACTGTATACTACAAGTTACAAGCTCTCAGTGACAATTGTATGGAGATATTAAATTTACCTGCTATTTAATCGCATTTATTTTGCTTTACGTCAACTCCATAGATTAAAGGTTGAAATACTTCAACTCTAGTGTATGTATATATGTATTTGTATGATAATACTGTGAAAAAATATATCGAGATAAAGTTTGATTTATTAAATTTTTGCATGTCTTACTGGGCTTGGTGTTTATGTATTCCAAGTATAGGGAAATACTTCGAAATAGTGAAGCTTTTATGTGTAATACAACACAGTGCAACAACTGATGCCATATCTTTGCCTCAGACCTTCGTTAGTTTATGTATTTTTTCAAGCATTATTCGTGTCATTATGAAAGATTTTGAACAGCTGGGGACGGTTTATGCCTTCCCATACCTTCGACTTCTTCGTTCATATTTGGAAATTTCTTGTTAAGTGATTAATATTCACTCTGGGAGCAAGCCTTTAACACTTACTGACATTTTAAGACTTGGTGAGTTAGCACTGCATTCCAAACAAAGTCGAACAAGAACTGTATCTTTATCTGGAGTAAAGTTTACTACCTACCATCAGGATAATAAATGAGTAATAACACATTCGAAGAGAGTTAAAAATAACCCACCAGTTGGTACTTTATGTAAAAGTGTTCATCCAACAAGAAAACACAAGATACAGACATTTCAAATTATAGTTAACAAGACCGTCTTCAGTGTTACGTTATTTGACATTAAGTAATACTAAAGTAATACTAGATGTATAAAACAGCCTCTGGTTTATAAAACTTTCAGCACTACTATGACTGAAGTAATACTAGATGTATAGAATAGCCTCCGGTTTATAAAACTTTCGGCACTACTATGACTGAAGTCATATTAGATGTATAAATTAACTTCCGGTTTATAAAACTTTCGGCACTACTATGACTGAAGTAACACTAGATGTATAAAATAACCTCCGGTTTATAAAACTTTCGGCACTACTGTGAATGAAGTAATACTAGATGTATAAAATAGCCTCCGGTTTATAAAACTTTCGGCACTACTATGACTGAAGTAAATTTAGATTTATATTTTATGTAATGCTTACTGGAACAAAATTTTTCTAGAATACTAACTTATTTGATGTTATAACCTATGGATTCTTAACCCAGTAATGAGCTTACAATAGTTTACCTTTGGTTACTGATGTTCAACTAGATGCTCAGAAGACTGACAGACAGACTTTTGGTTACTGATGTTGAACTAGACGTCCAGAAGACTGACAGACATATCTTTGATTACTGATGTTGAACTAGACGTCCAGAAGAATGACAGAGAGACCTTTGGTTACTAATATGGAACTAAACATTCAGAAGACTGACAGAGAGACCTTTGGTTACTGATGTGGAATTAAACATTCAGAAGACTGACAGAGAGACCTTTGGTTACTGATGTGGAACTAAACATTCAGAAGACTGACAGAGAGACCTTTGGTTACTGATGTGGAACTAAACATTCAGAAGACTGACAGAGAGACCTTTGGTTACTGATGTGGAACTAAACATTCAGAAGACTGACAGAGAGACCTTTGGTTACTAATATGGAACCAGACGTTCAGAAGACTGACAGACAGATCTTTGGTTACTGATGTTGAACTAATCGTTCAGAAGACTGACAGACATATCTTTGATTAGTGATGTTGAACTAGACGTCCAGAAGAATGACAGAGAGACCTTTGGTTACTAATATGGAACCAGACGTTCAGAAGACTGACAGAGAGACCTTTGGTTATTGATGTGGAACTAAACATTGAGAAGACTGACAAAGAGACCTTTGAAATATGCTATTTACGGTAAATGACCGTAAAACGCGCTCATTTTGTCTAGTCAGTGAAATAGGTGACTCATATATCAATGACATCTCGTTCCTTGCAGTCTGTCTGTCCGAGGAAATATGACCTGTCAGACTTCCTGCACTTTGACAATGATCAACCGTTTCTCCTGTTTCATTTATTTCCAAACTCAGAGTTTTACACAAATAGATACCAAGCAACTTACTAAAATGTCCACTCAGGAATATCCAGTGAAAGTATAGGAGACTAAAATCGTACACCATAAAGTTACACACAAAATTAATGTAACTTTTTTCTTCTAAACTTTAAACCAAATTTTGTGTATGTCATGATTTCTAGGTCGGTAATAATAACAGCCATTGGTGTAAACGTGTAAAACGCGTGTAATTTCAATGTTCTTTTTTTGTGCGTGTGATTGCTGATAAAACGCGTTCAGCTTAAATGAGCTTCTATAAATTAAACCTACGCGTAGCTTGCTCGTTACTGAGTGACGTTATACTGGAATTGAAAGATTTTCTAGCCTCGCTATAAACATGCATAGAAACTTGGTGATCTGCCGACAGTCTCATTATAAGACTTTCAGACCTGAATTGAAACATGCACACAGTCTTAGTAGCAAGTAATGTTCTATAAGATTTTCTAGATCTTGGATTAAACACGTGTAAACTTCAACTCTATTGTGTAAAACGCCCGAGTCGGTGAGGCATAATACTTTGTTTGAAAATATACATGAAACTTAACCTTTATTAATGTAAACCGTCCAATTCGGAAAGCAGTGATACCTTGTTTAAATTTACATACATACAAGTATACATATAAACACACATACAATATATATATTGTGTGTGTGTGTGTTTGAAACTTCAAGTCTAATGGTGTAGAACTCCAAGTCGACAAAGCATGATACGTTATTTAAGTATATGTGTATACGAAACATCAAGTCTAACGATGTAAAACGCTCAAGTCGGCGAAGCATGATACTTCTTTAGTTATAAGTATAATGTTACGTAACATATGTAACAATTTGTATCAGCTGTTCTACAGAATTCCTCGACATAGCTGCACGTGTTAAGAAGATATATTGTTGAAGCTGAAAGCCAGTTTTGGGCCAACAGTGAATGGTATTAATATCACACTTGTAACCCAATATAGAATATCAGCTGACGCTCTACGAACCGATAATCATTTTATCTTAGTAAAAAGTGATTTATTTACCCGTGATAATCAGTCCTAAATTCGTGCCTTCCTGCTTAACCAACTCCACTTTCGATGTTCCCCGTTTCTCTCCTGAAACAATTCAAAATAAATTCAAACAACAAATTTATAAGTTAATCAGTTTATTCGGCAACATTTTCAGATTTAGAATATTATGTATCGTTAATGTTTAAGTTCGTATATTGTGCGTGCCTTGTAAAAAACAGTAAAAACATTTTTTGTTTATACAGTTAAACAATCAATCAGTACAATAAAAACTAATTATTAATTTATACAGTATATAGCATATGGCAAAACAACGTTTTTTAGATAGTACAAACTACCCATATGGCAAAACAACGCCCCCCAGTGGCACAGCGGTATGTCTGCGGACTTACAACGCTAGAATCCGGGTTTCGATACTCGTGGTGGGCAGAGCACAGATAGCCCTAATTTAGCAGTGTAAGACTAGAGGCATTTCCAGTCCATTAAGGTTACAATACCTATTAGAAATCATTGGGCCCATTAATTGTGATAAAATCACATAAACTGCAGGTGTGTTTTTGTTGTTGTTGTTTTTTTCACATTACTCTTAGAGGTGTATTAAGATAGCATATGAAATCTATACATGTCTCCCACAAGTTACTGGCCAATAGGCCCTTTGTTCAATTTCAGAACTCGTCAGTTGGGCTGGTGATGAAAGAAAACTGTAAAGTTTTGTACTGTATATACTAATGCGTTTCACTTTCAGTTTGATTTGTTTGTATTTCGCGCAAAGCTACACCAGGGTTATCTGCGCTAGCCGTCCTAATTTAGCAGTAAAACA